TGTTTGCGCGAATCGGAAGTAAAGATGTAATATCATCGTGCCCCACTGTATCCGAATCTGAAATTACTTTAATATTATTTTCTGTAGAAAACATACTGACCTAGATATTAGTATTACTATACTTACATACTATTTAAAACAAAAAAATATTTTGGCTAACTTAGACTAACTCTCTATTAATCGGTTAGGTACTAATATTTGGTTAGGATCTAACTAGATTTGGTTAGGTTAGTGCCTAACTCATTTAAATTTTTGTGAATGACTTTTTCGTGTGCCTTTGGTAGTGTGTGTAGGCTCAGTATTAAAAAAAAAATATTTGGCTAACTTAGACTAGCTCTCTACTAATCGGTTAGGTACTAATACTTGGTTAGGATCTAACCAGATTAGGTTAGGTTAGGTTAGGGCCTAACTTATTTAAATTTTTGGGAATGGCTTTTTCGGGTGTTTTTGGTAGTGTGTTTAGGCCCAGTACACCCAATTTTCTTCAAAGTTCTTAATCTAATGATAGACTTCTATTTTGTTACAGAGTGGTGTCGTCGCGGTAAGTGGCCAGCGCACGTGAGTAGACTTTTAGGGTAGGTGATGGGTTTTTTTAAAATCAGTGCGACATAGTCTTTGCTTGTTTATCTTGAAGCGTCGAGAAAAAATAATTATTTTAAAGATAAAAATATAGTTTTCGGAATGTGATTTAAAGATTTAAATCAAATTTACTCGAAATTTACTAGAAATTAGAGTGTAATAAAGATTCGGAATAATAATGATACTTTCGAGATATTTTATTATCATTATCAAAGAAATATATTGATTACTCTTTTTAAACCAATTCAGATTCCTACATGTAAGGATTATTTTCTAATGTAATATTTTTGGACCGGTTTTTTCTCGACGACTTCTTATTTTCAACAAATTGCGAACGATTAGTTCGCCTTGCGTCGAAATCGACGCCCTGGACCTTGCAAATTGCGAGGAAATCATGCGATCGCGGTCGTGTACGCGGTTTTAGATTTCGCGAATTGTTTTATTCCAAACTTTTGCCACTTTTTCACTTTTTGTTAATTATCTATTAATATTAATTAAAGAATACATTTTTTTGCGAGAATTGTACGATAAAGTAAGAAATTTTAGAGACATTCTATCGGAAAAGTATATCGGGAAAGAATATAATTAGCAGATATTTCTTTAATTTTAACGACTTACTTAGTTTTGATTTTTTGAATATACGCGATTAAGTATCATTACTAGAATCCATCCCGTAAGAGAAAATTAAGTACGCGTACGAAAAGTTTTACGTAAAAATTTTAATTACGCGTTTTACTTCACTTTAATTTAGAATCGAAATTTCTAGCATTATTTATAGAATGCTAGATTTGCTTTATAATTATGTTAAACTTAAGTGTTATTAATCTTTTAACAAACAGTCTGTGCTCTTATAAGTTTCTGTATTGTCACCCTTACGAAAAAGAATTACTGGCAGTAATATATTGCGGCAGTGGTACGAAAGAATTACTGGCATTCTGTGTAATTGCCAGTAATATTTTCAGTGATTCCTGTAATATCTAATACTATTCTTGTGTGATTGTCAGTAATACTTATATTACTGACTTTATTTATATAATAATCGGCAATAATTCTTTTTCGTAACGGCATATATCTTTTATATTGAGAAATTAAATAAATTTTTTTTTTCCTACGACGGATCAAAGTACACATCTGTTACAGAAAGTTTTATTTATAAGATTTAAAAATTATTTTTTTTTAGTTCGGAAACAAATATATGTAAAAATACATGTGATACGTTGTGTAGAGATTAGATGTTTATTAGATTTCTTTAGGATTACAATTTTTTTTTTTACATCATTTTTGCCTATTCCGTTCTCTTTTTGACCTACAATTTTTGATAAGGTAGACTTTGAATAACCGAGAAATGAGGTGGCGAGATTCCATTATTGCAGTCAACGTTAATGCGCCAGCACCGGCTGATCAATTTATCTTCTGTCTATATCGTATAGTGTGTACATAAATATGTATATTATATGTTTACGTGTCTCTCCCCATTTAATATAAAAGAATACAATGAATATATTATCTCTTATCATATAAAGATAATACAATATATTTAGGCCTAGTTTTTTATATATACAACAATATATTATCAATCTTTTATTATAAAACTTTCAAACAAAGATCCGTCATTTTATACACAATTTAATATATACCTAGTATGTAAATACATAAATTTATACATTTATATAAACATATATAAAAAAAGAATATGTAGTGTGTTTAAATTAAATAACAATTCATTATATAATTAATTATAATACTGCACAAGTATATATCAAGTAATAAAATCTAATTACCTAAAATAGATTTTATATATTTTAATGGATATTTTTTTTATAATAGATTTTATTTTGATAGATATTTACTTTTTAGAGCCATCGCACAAAACAAAAAAAAAACGTTCTTATACGGTAGTCTTTACTCGGCAGATTTCTTTACATTGATACGAAAATAATTAAGAGTAGTTTGAAAATTACTCTATGAATCTTGTTTTAATACATAGTACGTATTGTATTAGAAATGATTGCAATAGTTATTTTTTAAGAAAGAAAGAATGTACTAAACAGAGACAGAGAGAGAGAGAGAGAGAGAGAGAGAGAGAGAGAGAAAAGAGTAAAGATTATTTAGTTTTCAGAAAAAAGAGAAATATTGTAGAATATTTATAAAATGTTCCTATAATAAAATTGAAGAAATTAGAAACTGACTTTTCCGCGTATTTTAAAGAAACCCAAGCCGTTTCTATTGTGCACTAAGGCCCCGAGACTGCAATAATTTTCTATAATGATTGGCGTGTTAACAACGTTGCAATTATTAGGTAACAAACTTTTAAGCGTTGTATGAAAAGCCTCTATGTCGAATCTTGTTTTGACAACTTCAGTTCCCGCTAAAAAAATATTATCTTGTTATTGATAATTTTTATTAACGAGATATAAAGAAATCTTTGTTATAGTAATAATGTTTGTAATAAATTTCTCATTTACTAGATTTAACATCTACCTTTGTACCAAAACAATGGATGACTAACAAATGTAATCCAAGGTATATCTTTTGCAAATGGATTCCACTTTTTTGCGATAGATAAAGGTTGTCCTCTGTTCCACATAAGTCTTATACCTGACATATTTCGTTTTCTGAAAACAATTCAAGTACCTATTTCCAGAAATATTTTACCAAAACATTGAAATAATGTTTTGGTAAAACAGTTTTAAACAAACTGTTGAAAATCGGGCTTGCTTTATAAAAGTTATATCCTAGTATACAGTGCGTATATAACAGTGCGCAAAATTTATACAAGTGTATTGAATAAACAAATGTAACAAAAGTGAATGATAGATACAATTCGTAAGCATTTTTATATCGAAACAACATACACGGAACATATACAGCGCAATGTTTATTTATTAATATAAAGTATATATTGTATAAGAGTAGCAAAAACAACAAACACAATCGAAAGAAATTAACAGAAATAGCATATCGGTACTGACACAGATGAGCGGTATGTATACCTAGGTTCGAATTGACCAATACTGGAGCAACCTGCAATAGATGACCATTCTTGACGTGCTGCGCACTGAATTATAGATGACATACCTTCTGCCAATCCGCTTAATCTTCTAAAAATTATTAGGGTGATATGAACGTGATACAGTAAATACATAAACATAGATGCTGCCGTTACCATTCCGTTTCATATATCATGTCCGTATTAGATTTAGTTTTTGCCGTTGCAAAGCACTTACACAAAGATGATTTATTTCAAACACATATTCTGTCACATTTATCGTAAAAATATCTTTTAAATATTTGCAGCAGAACGTAGTACTTACGGTGCGAGAGATGCTGATGGATATATCAATTCACCTTTGAATACTGTATCGAGAAGTGATATATGCACACGATTAAAATCAAGTATTTTCAATGAAATAAAATCATATTTTACAGAGTAAAGGGCTTGAGTTGTTAATAGTACAAGTCTTTCTTTTTCTATGTCCCACAAACTGATTCTACAAATATAAATAAGTTTTCCTTATCCTTAAATCCAAACTTACCGCAAGAAATATAAGTCTGTAAATTACATTGATATCACATACTCTGTTAGAAGCCAACTTCCTACGAGTTCTTCAATGTTTTGTTGTATCAAGGTTTCGGTACAGTCGTGTATTGCTCTTTCCACGATCTCATTTCTATCGGTGAAAAATGCGTGAACTTCTATATTTCTGAATGGCAAACTGCATACATTTTGCATAGAAGAATTCTGGTTTGATGTGCCATCTATATTATCAGTTGTTGGTTTTACAGCTAAATTTTTTTGAGAAAAAGTAAAAATAGCAAAATGTAAATAGTTATATTTTAAATGAATATATTAGTGTGTGATAATATAGACTTACAGTCAACGTTAGCTATTTCTAAAGTAGCTTTTTCGAAATTAACGCTAGGTCCGTCGTCCAAACTCGTCTCCTCCATGTCTCTAGCTTATCTATCAAATCGAGAAAAAAGGAGAAAGTTTGACATTTATTTTGGATAACAATGACAAACTACAATAAATCATTTAGTTCTCTATCTCACCAATTACGATTTAATTATATCAATTGACGCGCTTTTATACGAAACGAAAGATTCTGCCAGAGAAAAGAGTCGTTTTGCACCGCAAAATGAGTTATTAACCGTTGAAGTTGCTTATTTCGAAGGTTAGAAAATCTGTCATACTAACTAAAGCTGTTTAAAAATTCACTGATTGCTTTAAATCTTTGACTATAGGTCTGTTCTTTTTATCTGAACTAGTGTAGCAAGTTCAGGTAAAAAGAACAGACCTTATATAAGTATGAACTGCTAGTTTTCCCACTTTTGGTGTAAGAATGGGTGTGTTTAGCCGAAGTTAGCGCTACGTAGCGCTACGTAGCGCTAACTTCGGCTAAACACACCCAATAACACTGAACTATAAAGAGCCGTCTACAATGGAGAGTTGTAGGCCGTAACAGTAAGAAATTGACAAATCACAATCGATTATTCTTCTGTACTTTATCTGTGATTGGTCAATTTCTTACTATTACGGCCTACAACTCTCCATTGTAGACGACCCTTTAGTTTTATTAGTTCCAATTCCTGTATTTCCTGCATTTCCTCCATTAGTTCGTTCCATCTTGCTTAACTGAACACAGCCTCGCACAATAGCAAGGCGCGTTCCATAATATAGTTCAGTGATGTCGCCTGTGTATTTAGCTGAAAAGCTCCCTTTATGTGTAGTAAAATTCTCTTCTCAAATTGCACGCAGTATACAATTATAAATTAAATGAGAAAAATTGGACTCACAGCGTACTTTTATGAATTTTTCATTGAGCCAGTCTCTTTAATTAAGCTAAACGATGAAGTTAATTGAAAATGTTAAGATGAAGTTGATCGGAAATAGTAAAATATAATAAAAACTCACTTTGAACAGAGAGAAATCTGAGAGCGGCCATCCTATTGTAATTTTTTGACCAATTGCAGAGTCAAATCAGCCAATCGACCAACGTAATTGATCAGTTCCACGAGATCTGCGACTTGCGTTTAATGTAGAACGGCCTTTGAGTTCCACTTTTGTGGAAATACGGCTAAAACCAGCGGCTGAAACCGTCGTAAAAAATTACAATAGGATGGCCGCTCTCAGGTTTCTCTCTGCTTTGAATCATTTGTGTATGTAACGTAATTTTGGGCTGCGTTCCGTTTCACGCATATGCGCGCATTTATCTATAGTACACGTCACGTATAGTATAGATAAATGCGCGCATATGCGTGAAACGGAACTCAGCTTTGATCTCAGCCATCGAACGCGGAAAATTGTAGATTGGTGTAGATGTAGTATTAAACAAAAACTCGTCGCCATATTGCGTGCGATTTTACCACTACTATTTTCTAATATGAATTCAAGGGGATGGCCCTTTCTGTCATCGAAAGTTCGGTGATTCCTGTTTATTGGAATACGTAAATGTAATCTCAAAAAAATGTTATAATCCAACGTGTGATAAGTTTCTTCGTGAATATTACGACAAAACACCTCCGTTATAGACACGACATCGAGAAATTTTCCTAAGCGAGTCTGTCTTTTTATTTCAGGTTACACGTGACGGGATTTTACCATCGGCTCAAGAAGTGAAGAAGATCAAAAAGACGCGAAGCAGTGACTTAATCTGATGCAGCAATTGTGAAATAAGGAGTTTTTATAAATGGAAACATTATTCGAACCTACACCTGCGAAGAGAAAATGCACTGTAATAGACATCAATAAGATGAAGAATTTAAGAGAAACAGTTCGAGAATTTGATTTGCCGAAACATTTTCCCAGTACGATGCATCAGTTGAGAAATGAAGTTTACGAAACTCAGAAAAACAGATGTGAAAACATCGTTTCTACATCAAGTGCGTCATTTGCACCTCAACTCATAAAGGTACAGAAATTACGAATTTTGTCTCGTAATGGACGAGATCTGGGAGAGTTCAATGTTCAGTTACGAGATGATGATCCGTCGAAAGGAAAGACAATTATGCTTACCAAGTCACCTTCAAAGAAAGACTCCTCAACTGTTAACACTTTGCCCAAACCTGGCAAGTTATATCCGAGAATACTCAGACAAAGGAAGAATTTTGCTAAGATGCGAAAAGTTGATCCGCCAAATGTAACAGTAAGCTTAAGCAAAAACATATCTGAAATAGAGAAAATTAATTCAATAAAACAGCAGCAGTCTGCAACTTTGTCAAAAAGTAGTGAATTTAGGAACAATATTAAGAATGAAAAAATGAGAGCAAGAAGTAGTGACAGTGATACCGAAATTGATGTAGAAACAATTCCTACAAATAAAACGAATTCTACAGGTTCTACGTATAAAAATATCAATAATAATAACAAAGAATATGTGCTATCTAATACAGAAAGTAACATGAATACTTGTTTAGAAATTCAGGATGGTAGGACGGTTAAAGATAATAAAACTTTTGCATCTGTAAAACCATCGTACAAAAATGATATTAATTCAATTTCTATAGCAAATTGTAAAAATCTTGTAGTGAGTCTTACTAATTGTATGAAAAATTCTGAGAATAAAATTACTGTAAATAAAGGAAAATGTATTGCTAACAAAAATATAGAAAAAGATCAAGTGGTTGAATCTTTGAAGAGTAAGCAAAGTGTTATACAAGGATGTAATCAAGATAGAAAGTTAAGCAGCTCAGGCAGCTCACTTGAAAATAAAAAGTCTCTGGAAAAATCAAGAATTACAAATGAGACAAATATGTCTCGGATTAAATCATTAACTCAAAACAGTTTACTTGGAAATAAAATGTCTCTAAATAAATTAAGAATTACAAATGAAAAACCTATGTTTCAAAATCAATCAGTTTTAAGTAAACAAGTACATGAAAGGAAGAAACAAGAAAATATTATGACAATTATACCTAATAATGAAACTGTTTTATTTAATCAACCTGCGGATATACTAAGTAATATATCTGTACCTTCAACAAGTAAAAAACCCACACCTGTGTTTTTAACAAGTACGTATAACAGGAACACATTTGTGTCCTCAAAAAATAAAAAAAACGTGAATTCAAATAATTGTGAATATGCGCATCTCTTAAAGGAAAATTCTAAAACTAATCCTTTTACTATTAATCTTGTAGAACATATACAGGAATCACAAATTGTAAATACCACTGATAGCAACATGGAAACTAGTATACGGAAAAAGGATTTGTCGCAGAAAGATTTGTCAAATAAATTTGATATTATTAAGAAAGCAATGGACAGTGTAAAGGACAGTAAACTTCGAGAACTTGCGTTGAAGGCCTTGGCGGATTGTGGAATTGGCATCGAGAGATATGTTCCGATACATCCACCGGAACAATGTAAAGCTGTACACGACTCGCAAGTGCAGACTATGGTATTTGGTCTGTTAGATCCTAAATCTTTCGTATTGATAAACAAAGACATAAAAAGCCTTTACAGAATAAATCAGATCACTCTGCACGATGTACCGAATGTGGAACCGTTAGATGAACAAGAGGGCAATTTTGATATTGACAGTTTTGTTAATGAGTTTGTTAAAAATATGGAAAACGATTCAGATATATTGAAAATAAATAAAACTTTGTCGATGTCGAAATTAAGGTGTAAAAGTATTTTGGGTCATTTAGAAAAAGATTTTCAATCTGTCAAGCAATATGATCAAAACGGAAGGTTAAATATACACAATGCTGTTATTAGTAATAACATCTATCTAGTCAAAAGACATCTTTTGGTACTTCAGCAATGTAAGGAAAGTGTCGATATACCAACCGAAACTGGAATGGTGAGCTTAAATTTCATTATCTAATCTTGAGAATCCAATTTAATAAAGTTGTAAAAGTGCTATACATATTTTTCAGACAAGTTTAGAGCTAGCAATCAAATATGATGTATGTAAAGAAATTGTTCAAGTTTTACTGGACGCTGGAGCTCAACCAGTTGTACCGATATATCTACGCGAATCAGCATTGATTATTGCTAGTAAACAGTCGTCACCATTATTGCCAATGCTTGTTAAACGAGTCTCGAATCATAAATTACTCGATCAAGTAGATTCGGAAGGTAAGATTGTGTCTATATAAAATACGTGCATATCACATGTCTTTTTAATAAGTATGTAACGTGTCATTAACATCTCAAGCCTACTTTGATTTTTTAGGCTATGCGGCGTTACATTATTGCTCCATTTACGGTAATTTACAAGGAGTTGAGGCACTATTATCAGCTAGGGCGACTGTAGATTTGCAGGACAAAAAATCTGGACGAACGCCTCTGTTTCATGCACTGGACAACTCGCATAGCTCGATATCGCGAGCGCTACTAAAAGCCGGTGCTATGGCACACATCACAAATTACGCAGGTCAAACGCCAATACCTATAGTTCCCGTGATCGAAAGAGAAAGTTCGCCTTGCAAAATATTGTCAGTAACATGAGATACTCAACATAATTGCTGTTTTTTTTTTTTATTCACTTCTAACGACTGGAACATTTGTCTCAAATTGTTTTATTATTAGAGACAGAAACGCAAATCACGAATATCGAATTAATTTATGAGAAAAAGTACTGAATAGCAAAATTTCGATAATTTATTTGTGCATCACATAAATTTATATTTAACACAACTATTTTTTTGTCTCTTGAATATTAGATGGAACTGTTACTAAAATATTGTTTTTATTAAGCTTAAACGACTTCTGCTTTTAGCTGTGAGTATTTCAATAAACATAACATAAAAAAACATTTGGTCCGTATTCTCACCTCTTTTATCGATAAATATGCCACTAAATTTAGTGTGTGATTACGTTACATATATTATAGAATCTATTTTTAGTTCACTATAAATGAATATGTTGATAAAATTAAGGTAGGAATTCTTCGTAACTTGTACTTTTATTTGTGATTTGCGCTTAATACAATTGATGTTTTTATCTAATTGTATAGATTCATATATGTCTTTATCTTATTAGATTAAGAATTAGTAAATATTTTGCGTTATTTTTGGATATTTCTTTCCTATTTCGGGATTCGCAGATTGTACGGTCATAAATATACAGAAGTAAAGAAAGTTGCGCCAAATATTTATTGACTTGATCTGGTAAGATAAAAGTTTATATAAGAAAGTTTCTACACTGCTTTAAATGGATATTGCATTTCCGCGATGAAAAGATAATTTGGGCGCAGTATACACTCGACAAAACGATAATTTGTTCATTGAGCGGTGCGTAGCCATATGTAAACGGGAGTATGCTTTCGAATCTATGCCAATTATATACAAATATGTATGTATATATAAAAAAAATGATAAATTTTTAGTATATTCCAAATTATAATTTAAATGATAAGAAAATTAATAGATTATTAATATTATGAATTGTCACAGATTCTCAAAGATATTACAAATATATAACAATTATATATACGTAATTATATTATAATTATTTATTTACATACAAATTAAAAAACTAATATTTATATAATTGTATTCATTGACATGTATCTTACAGGATTTTAGTTGATAAGAAATTTGTAAAAGTCTGTGCTTTTCATAATATAGCTGCGTTAAAAATATATTTTTGTATCATAAATATTAGTCAGTATTTAATATTGACATTGAACTCGATATTGAAATATAGAATTTAAAATTGTATATAAGACTATAAACAGTAAATATATTATATATGCGCATATACTATTTTAGTATTGTACCATAATATTATGTTTGAGTGTTATTTGCTGTGCACTGCCAATAAATTGTTTCAATTTAAAGTTAACATATTCAAAGTAACATGGGAACCAATTAAAGTGCAAATAAAAAACCAAACTTCCGCAATGATGTACGTACATAGACTAAGAATTTGTATTCATGGTGGTTTTTTTTTTTATTAAACAGAAGTTTCAGGCCTTTTTGTGTAGCAAATTTAACATGTTTCATTATGTAATATATTAATATATGTAATAAGACTGTTACTTTTTAGAACAAGAGCCTGAGGAAGTAAGATTTATATTAAATTACTTGCAATTAAAATAAATTAAAAGAAGTTATATATATGTATATATATACTATATAGAATCACAAAAGGAATTATTTTAATTGTAATTTTTTTATTTTGGTAGACATCTTTTTAGTATACAGTAAATTAAAATGGCGTCCAACCGTAAAAAACTATTCCCTTGAGCGGATTCCTTCCCAATGAACCGTAAAACTCGGGAGCACTTTCCATTTGCGCGCTATAAAGTTCGATCTCTTTAGGCTAGATCCTCATGCAGACACCAAACGTTGATTGGTGAAAAGTGGGTGGTGAGGGTAAATTAAGGTTGCTTTTTACCCTCATCATCCGCTTTTCACCAATCAACGCTCGGTGTCAAAGCGCCGGTGTCTGCATGAAGATCCAGCCTTACTCTTACTTCGTGTTTTTACTATAGCATGGAAATACCAACTTGCAATCCATGTTTATATAGTCAAAGCGTCATTGGTGTTCCCCTTTAATGGCTGCACACATGACGCGGAGCGTTTGACACACTTTGATACGTAGAAGTTTGCTAGGGAATAACACAGTGGCCAATCAACAGGCCTGTTCTTTTCAGATGAACTTGCACAGTTCATCTTTACTCTTTTTCTCTTCATTTTAAAGAGAAAAAGAGATATTTTGGGAGGAAGAATTCGACCTTGTTCAAAAATAATAAATATATTATTTGCAAAAAAGCAAGATGTTGATTGGCCGTTGCGACGCGTTCTTCGTGCACAGAAAACAAGTAATTGTATAATGTATATTTTAAGTAATTTAAAATTTTCAAGAAAATAAGTAGGTTCAAAAGAAGTAAAAATAGTTTTTTATTTAAACAGTTGTGTAGTTTCTCTTTCTTTAAAAACTTTATTAAAATTGATTGCTTTAACTTTCCATGTAATATCGAATGTAAAGAAAAAATATGAAAAACTTACTGCACATATACATATTATCGTATTATTTTTTTTAATATTAATTTAATATTAATTTTATGTACTGAATAGATTTCCGTTTCCGACAGCGAGTTAGCGAGCGATTGTGGATAGCATAGAGTGTGATTTTGGTTTTTTGTGTCGAAGTTGGCCAGTGGTTG